CTAAGTAGTTGTGTTTAAAAGTCCTGTGTTTCTTAACAATCAATGGGAAAGTAGTACTCAGGGTCTGTATGTTGTAACCTGTATGGAGGTAACTTCATTTTTATTTGAAAGGGATCTGCCCTAAACATTGTACTTGAATTCATTTTGGCTATGTCTACCCTACAAGTGGTATAGCAGCACAATCTCAGCTCTGCTGCTGTAGTGTAGACAGAAAGGGTTTTTCCATCACTGTAGTAAATTCACCCCCTTGAAAGACAATAGCCAGGTTGACGGAATAATTTTTCCGTTTACCTAGGCTATGTCTACGCTATGTAGCTTTTAGCAACACAGCTGTGCCGCTAAAAGGCACGCAGTATAGCTGCTGTTGGTTGGCAGGAGAGAGCGCTTTTGCCAACAAAGCGCTGTTCGCAGCAGCTCTTGTCTTCAACAAAACTTTTGTCTTTCGGGGGGAGGGGGCGGTGTTTAATACCTCTGAATGACAAAAGTTTTGTCTTTCACCTGCCAGGGTAGACAAAGCCCTAGTGGTGGCTATACTGGGGCATGGGTTGTCTTAACTACATCTCTCAGGGCACACTCTGAGCAACATAGCTTGGTCGACCTATGTTTTAGTAGTAGACCACACCTTTGACTCTTTAACACACACACTTGTGATATAACCTTGTTAGGTCTGGATCCATGGCCTGGCTTAACAGAGGTTTTTGAGCTTGATTATGTATTTTATATCCTTTCGTGTTCAACCAAGGAAACACTTTTTAATAGTGAATAGCTAAAGGAGGGGCAAGGAAGGAGATGGGAGCATTGTCCCCTGAACATAGAATTGGAAACCAGAAACCACCTGACTTTTAATCTTGATTCTTAAAATTACTTTGATTTTGGGTAAATCAGTCTTTCTGCTTCAATTTCCCTTCTTGTAAAATAGAGAGTATACTTATTCAACTGCACAGACATTGTGAGCACTAATTAATTAATGTTTGCAAAGTAGTTAGGAGATGGGAAGTGCTGAGTAACTATTCTGATTTTTTAATAGGATTAAATACGTGACTAGGCATGCAGTCATTTTCACTGGGATCTTTTTCATGGTTATGTAACGTGCACCCTCACGCACAGTCATAGCTAAAAAGCCTCTTCTTTTATAATTAAATGCCACTGCACCAGTAGTTACTAATATTTGAGCTCTGAGTATAGTAGAGCAAAATAACCCTGAATGAATTAAATTGTCTGAGGGAAAGCCATATGTGCTGCATCTGATTAAGTTGCTGTCAGAAGCAGGCAGCTGATGGATGATGCCCATTCTTGCTAATGTTTCATGCACAGACATACAAGAAGAACCTGTATTTATTGAAGAAATGTGTCCCCCCCTCAAGGTTGGCAGGACTTTTTCTGCCTTACAGTCCTGCAGGATTCACTGACTTACTAGTGCAAATGTAAAAACCAAAAGATTTGTCTATAGTTTAGCAGCAATTTGTATTTGATTTCTGACTTCTCTACTATAATGTGGTTCCATTGCTCAGTGTATAGAGATCTTCAAACACTAAAATTCTTCCATTCTAATGCAACATTTTCAGGGATTTTTTCTTTATTATGAGTTTTGAACATTAAACGTTATCCTTCAAACTTTATTCCCATTGCTTAGGTGATCTGGTTTATTTACATTGCAGTTATTATTGTATCAACAATGCACAGATAGAGTTGGGTGGGAATATTCTGATGGAACTTCTGTTGGAAAATGCTGATTAATCAAAAGCAAAACATTTGACATAAGTGTTGATTTCAGTGAATTTGCATTTAGGAAAAGACAAAGCATTTTTGGAATAAAACATTTTGATTTTACTTTTGAAATTACTTTTTTGTTACAAAATTTTTTATTTCATATTATAAAACACATCTAAAAAAATTAAATGTCAAACAAAATGGAACATTTAAATCTTTCTTTCTTTGAATTTTGAAATGTATCTTAATTTTTCCCCCCAGTCCAGAATGGAACAAAAAGTCATGGAATTTCCCACAAAATGGAAAATCCAGTTCCCACCCAGCTCTTGGTACAGCATTGTTAATAGGAAATCAGATATCCCTGCATGTGAGAGCTGAGTTGCCCAGTGAAAGCTGTGGGGAACTCTGCCAGTTCTCACTATTTGCTCAGGGAACCTCCATCTTTAAACTAAAATAATATATAAAGAGACTTAATCTTATGAGCTTCTATTGAAAACAAAACAAAACAACTTCACACCTGAATGCTCTTGCGATGTCATTGTTAAAAACCATTGTGAAATGTCCCAAAGCGCTTGACAAAATCTCTCGCACATCTCTCGCACAAAATCGCTTGTTTAGTCTCACATACACAGACTCTCTTACAAAAGTAATCACCTTTGTCAATTCTGTATCAAGAGCTATTGGCAGACCATAGATATTTTTTAAGAGTGGTGTGCTCTTAAGAAACAGGACCAGAGGTTAAGTTTCCTGATCTCAAGTACGTTCATAGGTATTACTCTTTGGCAGAATCATACCACAGCCTTTGGACTTGGCAGAGTGGCTTCCAGTAAAAATGCTCATGTGCATTGTTTGCTGAACAGAAATGAAATGGCTGGACATTGACTTTCAGGTAGATTAATATTGTGAAGTGCCCTTCCCCTGCTTACAGGGGGCTAGTTAGTGGGAAAAACTAAAGTTATTCATTTTTTTTAAATATGTACAGATCATGCTTAAGAAAATGCTTGAAGAACACATTTAGCTTGTATGCGTAAGTTAAAAACGTTGCTAACAATATGAAAAACACAGTAATAAAAAAAGAGCAGTAAGAGTGGATTGGACACATGTAAAATGCATATTAGGTGCTTCTTAGGGAGCTTTGTAATAATTCTTTCTTCATCTAACTCAGGGGTGGGCAAACTATGGCCGGGGGGCCGCATCCGGCCCTTCAAACATTTAAATCTGGCCCTCGAGCTCCTGCCGGGGAGCGGGATCCGGGGCTTGCCTCGCTCCATGTGTGCCGTGGCTCGGCATGGCTCGTGGAAGCAGCAGCGTATCCCCCCTCCTACACATAGGGGCAGCCAGGGGGCTCCACATACTGCCCACTCCCCAAGTGCCACCCCTGCAGTTCCCATTGGCCCACACTCCTGATCCCCTCCAGCGCCCCAACCCCCTGCCCCAGCCCTGATCCCCCTCCCACTCTCCGAACCCCTTGGTGCCACCCTCCTGCACCCCAGCCGGAGCCCTCAGCCCCCCCATCCGCACTCCAACCCTCTGCCCCAGCCCAGAGCCCCCTTCTGCACTCTGAACTCCTCATTTCTGGCCCCACCCCAGAGCCCGCACCCCCAGCTGGAGCCCTCACCCCCTCCTGCACTCCAACCCCCTTTTTCATGAGCATTCATGGCCCACCATACAATTTCTATACCCAGATGTGGCCTTTGAGCCAAAAAGTTTGCCCACTCCTGATCTAACCCAGTCAACAAAAGTTACACTGCTTTACAAAAATATAGTAGAAACTTGGCTGGGTTCCGTTCTGCTGTTTAAATACATGCTGCTATATACACAACACTGTATAGTTTAAAAAATGTCTACACTATGGAGAGAAAACTCAAAAGTTTTTATGCATAAACGTATTCTGGAGATTACACTTTATGAACGGACTACATTTATTTCCAAATGCATTATAATTATTTATACAACTAGTGTCTCTAAATGGTTTTAAGCCTTTCTATATTTTAATTTAAGAGACGACATCTTATTTTCAAAAGATGGAGGGTCAGATCTTCGTTCATGTCCATCAGCTGAGGATCTGGCCTATAAAAGAGAGAGTCTTTATTCCCAAAGTGAAGTTAGGGGCAGATCGTCAGCTGGAATAAATCAGATATATAAAGACATAAATAAAATTACAAATAGTGACTAGTTATCAAAACAAAGCAGTAAAATATTGTCCAAGGCACAGATTAGCTACCAAGATTGTGCTAAAAGAAGAACAGGAGTACTTGTGGCACCTTAGAGACTAACAAATTTATTAGAGCATAAGCTTTCGTGGACTACAGCCCACTTCTTCGGATGCAAGATTGTGCTATAATGTCTCAAATTAAATCAAAGGTGTTGGGTGTTATTTCTTATTTGTGTTACCTTTCAGTCCTAAGGACAATATTTCCTAGCTGCTGGGGCCCAGTGAAACAGTAAGGTTTTTATTGTTTTCCTTTATAAATAAATAAATTTTTAGATAAAAGCAACACACATCTAATCCATATCTCCTACTGGATGTGTGTTGTGTGACTTTTGTTTTAGGATTGCATGGTGGGTCTGAGTGTGGACAGTAAACTGTTGCATGATTTTCATGGCAGCATTGCAAACTTATCACATAATTTTGGGATAGCCAGGCAGAATTGAGAAAACATGGAAGAGTGATGGGTGTGTCGTATTATATATATTTTTATGCACAGTGGGTACTATGTTGTATACAGTAAACAGACTGTCTATAGGAGAGAAAATAGGGAGAAGAATTGTTTCTCTCAGAAAAAGTGACAAATGGAATCTTTCTAAAAGTGTCTTGGTTCCATTAAAATAATTTTAAGGATTGATGTGGTTGAATATATAAGATGCTCTGGTTTTCTCTGATGTTTAAATTAAGCAACTATTTTACTCTTTTACTTTCTTCTGCAAACCAAAAAATAATGGCAGGGCATCATCCCAAGAACTAGCACCATTGTGTTATAAATTTTTATATTAATTTCCAACAAAACCATTGGTGCTTCTCTTTTCAGCTTTTGCTCTTGGCTTTGAAATACATCCCTTGGCATTACCTACAAGTTTTCCTGTGGAGCAACTGTGAAAGACATGGCACGTTCAGGGTCCTTAACTTCCTCTGCATCTTCATTTTGGGGGACATCCTTTTGCTTCATTACCATCTAAACTAACTTTTCTCTGTTCTTTTGAAAAGGAGAACTTCTGAGTTTTGTAAGCTCAGAACCCAACTTTATTTTAATCAAATTGATCTGTTCTTATTGCCTTTTATTTTTCCCCAGGAGGAGTACAGAGCCGAAGGCATCAGCTGGCACAACATAGACTACATAGATAACTCTGGCTGTATAAATCTTATCAGCAAGAAACCAACAGGACTGCTCCACCTGCTGGATGAGGAAAGCAAGTGAGTGTGAACTATTTCTGAAAGTCACAATGACTGACTGTGGTCATGTGTTCACCAAACTCTAAAGGCTCACACTGCCTTACCCAAATTATGTGTGCGCCAGGCAAAAGAAGAAAACAATCTGCAAGGTTACTGTTGGTGGAAGCTACAAGCTTTTGAGCTACACAGAACTTTTCCTCAGGTTGCCATGGAGGAAAGGAGAGAGAGAAGAGAGAGAGAGAGAGAGAGAGAGAGATCTCCTTCTTACCTCATCTAGTATTGTTAAAGGGAAATGTTGGAAATTCTTTTCTTCAGTATTTGCTTAGAGTGCAGTCACACAATTATTTATGCTGAAGTCTTCTCTTTCTTGGTAATGTTTGCCAAAAAGATACCTAACGCACTAATCGCTATTTCTACTTATTTATGATTTCAGTGCCCTCCTAATTGTTTTTTAATCTAAGTGCTTGCATCTAACTGGGTAATGCAAACAGTGGAGATTTAAAAAAAAAACCATCTAAACTATGAACTAAAAATGTTACTTATCAAGAGTTTCCCCATCATAGGGAAGAACAGCTAAGGTTACCTTTACTTTGGTTCTGTTCTTTCTTCCAGGTCTGTGTCTCAGGGCATGTCTACACAGTGACATGTAGGAAAGTTAAGGTGAATTAACTAAAAGTGTGAATTTATGGGATATTAGTTAAAGTGCATTAACTGCCTGTGTGGATGTGCTCATTCAGAAGTAAAGTGGCCTTAGTTTGCTTCTAAAGTGAATTAGGCTATGTCTACATTTAAACTGCTACAGCTGCAGCATTCTCTCATCACTGTAGTTAATCCATCTCCCCGAGAGGCAGTAGCTAGGTCAACAGACAAATTACTCCATCGACCTAGTGCAGTCTACATGGGTGTTAGGTTGGCTTAACTGCGTTGCATGGGAGTGTGGATTTTTCACATCCCTGAGTAACAATAGCTGGGTCAACTTAACTTTTTAGAGCGGATCTGGCCTTAGTCTGTAGCAAACTAAGGCCCCTTACTTTTGAATGAGAGCATCTACACAGGGATATAATGTGTTTTAATTAATGCTCAATAAATGCATACCCTTTGGCTCGGTCTATACTTAAACCGCTACAGTGGCACACCTGCGGAGCTTCAGTATAGACACCTGCTACAGCTACAGGAGGGGTTCTCCCATCACTGTCATTAATCCGCCTCCCCAAGAGGCAATATCTAGAAGAATTCTTCTATCGATTTAGCGCTGTCTATGCTGGTGGTTAGGTTGGCTTAGTGACATCTTTCAGAGGTGTCCACACCCCTGAGAGACATAGCTATTCCGATGTAACTTTTCAGTGTAGACCAGCCATTAGTTAGTTTGGCTCAACTTCCCAGGTAGACAAACTCTCAAACTTGTGGAAATTTTGGCCTAAATCCTCTGAATGTAATTTTCTAGGCTCATGGGCAAGAAGTTTCCAGTAGGATCCACTGGCAAAGTTCCTACTTAATAATTCTGTTGGTGGCAGGTGGGGAGGGTTTATTCCCTTCTCTAGAATAAACCATAAGCCTGCTCTCAAACCTGGTGGCTCCCTAGTGACCTACAGTGGGCCCCCCAGTACCAGGGCAGTGCAGCTCCATTGCATCTGTGCTTTCAAGGACCTTCCCCAACCCTCTTTTCCCAATGACCCTAGGGAGTCCTGCAGTAAAAGTGAATACAGCAGTAAGCTTGTATTAACTTTTCCAAGGACTTTCTCCAGAGCCTCAGAGGGGATGAAGGATTTCCCAGCCTGCCGAGGCTCCGCAGCCTGTCTCAGAATGGAACCCCAGACCCACAGAGCACCGCCAGAGGCCCCAGAAAGTTGGGAAGACAGTACCACAAAGACACATGATTCCCTCCATGTAAGAAGTGAAAGATCTGCCTGCTGAGGGTTTCCCCATACAGAGATATGGAGGAGAGCAGTCCAGGGCAGTGTATTTTTAACCACAGATTAATTTGAATTTTATTTTTTTAAAAGATAGAATTTTAATTCAGTTTTTGATAAAGCTTTAAAATATGGACAAAGGCCCTTTCAACTGCAAGCAATTAATACACAAAGTTCAAGTTGCAGTGAATTGACATTTTGCTGTGAAAAAGCCACAGGCTTGATTCTTCTGTCCATTTATACTAGTGTACATCAGGAGTAACTTCACTGAAATCAATAATATTGGTGTAGAACTGGTGTGGGGTGAAATTGGGCCCTGTGATTTTATTTACACATCTCTGTGAACTTTTTTTAAAATGCCCTCTTACTGAGACCTGTAAAAAAGCTTAAATATTGAAGTTATGTATGCAGCTAAAATAGCCCATTTCTAGAGGGGTGAATATACCATATACTCGTGTGCTGTGCATTTTGAGTCACAAGGCTGAAGACAAATATATCTGACCTCTAGATAACTGTAGGTATCTAAATAATCATGCTACTATGAATATATTATTACAAATAGTTATGTGCATGACTACACTTTTGCAATTGATTCATTCTAGACCCAGTTAGCTGTACTAGATATCTGCAGTTGGAAGCTTCATCAAATGTATATAATATGTATTTAAATACAGGTGTATGTTAGCATACATATGTTGCCAAATGCAGCTCAGTACTGGGTATAATATCTGTAAGTGCAGAAAAGAGAAAAGCAGAATATTCCCTATTACAATTTATGGTCTGTCAACAAGGGTGTGTTGTTTTTTTCTTTGACTTCACAGCTGCCTTCATTTTTTCCCCCTTTTATCCAGTTTTCCACAAGCCACAAACCAAACACTACTGGACAAGTTTAAGCGTCAGCATGAGGGGAATTCTTACATTGAATTTCCAGCCGTGATGGAGCCTGCTTTTATCATAAACCACTATGCTGGAAAAGTGAAATATGGAGTGAAGGTCAGTCACCACAGCTGTTCACTAGCACTTATGTCAGTTAAAATGCATTCTAGCTATGACTGGGTACCCGTTGCCCAAGACTGCAGTGTGGATGAGTAAAAATTAACTCCGATTTATTGTCTGCTAGAGTTCAGATAAGATTTTTTGTATAGCAGCAATGGTCTGAATGTAAAACCACGGCACGTTGCTGAACTAGGTGTCGGTGTGAAGGAGGTAGGCACAAATAGGGAATGTCAGGCTGCCTGGAGTGGCTCCCAAGCATGGGTGCCAACTTCAAGGCAGACTGTCAGGAAATAAGGCACAAACCCCAAATTGGTTGTGTGTTCTATAATTAGATTTCACCAACCAAGTAACAAACGTGAACTCCTCAGACACTGTAATAGCCTTACCATGGAATTGCACACAGTCCCCTAGGCTAGGGCTTTCTGGTCTAACCTTACCACCACCAGGCAAGCCTGCCTCTGTGATTAGATGGTCCCTTACACCAAAAATCACAACATTCAGGTTACTCCCAGTCCCAAAGGACTAATCACTTGCCCCAGGTCAATTGTACCTAGGGTTGCCAACCCTCCAGGATTGTCCTGGAGTCTCCAGGAATTGAAGATTAATCTTCAATTAAAGACTTTCATATGATTAAACCTCCAGGAATACATCCAACCAAAATTGGCAACCCTCATTGTACCCTTGATATTTCACTGGAGACAACACTTGCAGCCAGTCCTTTAATAAACTAGCTAACGATTTATTAACTAGGAAAAGGAAATAAGAGTTCTTTATGAGCTTAAAGTGGGTAATACCCACAAATGAGTTTCAGCCTTAGATTCAAAAAGATAATAGAAACTTCAGTAATAAGCAAACTCCATATGTCCTGTAGGGCTAACCCAGGCAAAACAGCTGGGGGGTGGGAGGGCAGGCTTTTGCTTATGCCTAGTGATTCTGGTCCCTTTAGAGTCCAAGCAGCAAGAAGAACCCAGTTTCTCCTTGTCAGGGATTTTTATGTCCTTCTCCCTAGAGCCCAAGCTGATGGGAGGAGTGTGCAGGTCTCTTCTTCCTGGAGGGGGTGAAGAGTTCAGTTAACAAAGTCTTTGTTCTTTTAATGTCTCACCATGGCTCATTTGGTTTCAAAGATTTTTGTCGTTAGGCAGGACCCAACATCTTCTGAAGGAAGCCAGCATTTGAATTAGAGAAGGCTTCTTTCCTGTTTGATGAATGGTTACAGAGGTTTACGATGCAAACATTTGCTATTGCCTTATAACATGGGGTACAGATAAGTGAGACTAATGCATGCAGAATCCTACAAATTATTCATAAAGTCTAAACACCAAACACATTCTTACAACTCTAATATCTAGCTCAACAATACTAACATACAGGTGAGCCAGACTGGTTTCCAGCTGTGCATTTTGTCAGTGTTCAGTGAGGCCTGGGGCCTTGGCATGAGCTGGCACCTGGTCTGCCAGCATCACAGGGGGCAAAGGATTTATACAGTTTATTGTGGATGAAAGTGTAAAGTTTCAAACAATGTTTTTAATAAATTTAAAATGACAGTAATCAGAACCTTTTAAACATAAGCATAGCCCAACAGAGCAGCCACACTTCAGAAATCTTCACAGATTTGGGGCCATAGATTATAAATTCTTTGGGACAATAACTGGGATTTGTATTTTTCTGTATGGTGCCCACCTTGCTTAGCATCACATACATCAGCAGTTCTAAACCTTTTCCATACTGGGACTCTCATCCTAACTAGCCAAGATCCCTCCCCCCTTAGTAACTGGTAACCTGTTCACTAGCCCTCCAGTTGGAATAGATGATAATATTCAAAGTTGTCTAACAGTATTATGGCACTGCAAGGGAAATTGCTTTGAATTCTTGCAAAGAAACCCAGGTATACAGTGCAGTGTGGACGCCGAATCATGGGCTTGGATACACTGAGTCCACAAGCCCAGATCCCACAGACCTGAGCTTATTGTATAGTGCAGACATATCCACAGACAGCCTTTGAAACACCAAAAGATACAATTTGCACTATGTTTCTTGTTGCAACTTCCTCTCCAAGTTCCTTGTCTAAAGCTCTAAATTGATAGCTGCCAAGTTAAAATAATTATTCTGCTGGAGAAATGCCCTGTAAACTTAGTTAACTGACACAAACTCCATGCAAACTGAGTGCCTGTGTGTAGAATTAACTTGGATTTGTGTGGCATCACCAGGGTTTGGGGGTCATGGTTTCTCCAGATTATAGACAGTGTATTGTTTATGGCTCATATACTAGCAATACAAGACCAAATGCATTTTCTTTGCCTTTAGCCATTTTACTATTAAATAACTACGACTGGGATTTTCGCAGGTGTCTAAGGGAGTTAGGAGTCCAGCTCCCTGAGGCATGTTTAAAAAATCTCATGCTAATTATTTTAAACTTGACCCCATTGACATTCATGTCATTAAAAGTATTGGTCCAGATCCTCCTGACAGCTGTTTGGCACCTGGCCCAGCTCGTGTGGGAGACTACCTAGGTGCTATAGTGTTTAACAATGTACCAAAAAATCACATTAAAAGAGTATTAAGTTTGTGGAGTCAAGCACCAGCTTTTAAAATGTCTGTTTTATTAGAAGTGTGTTGGACTGAGAATTTTCATTAAATTGTCTTGCTTTTGAAAGCTATCACATGCAGAAGAACAGCGAGGACAGTATAAATAAAAAGTTGTCATATTACAAGAATAGTCAAGCCCTCCTTTTTTCTTTCTCGCTAGGATTTCCGGGAGAAAAACACAGATCATATGCGGCCAGACATTGTAGCTCTCCTAAGAAGCAGCAAGAACGCCTTCATCTGTGGAATGATAGGGATTGATCCAGTGGCTGTGTTCCGCTGGGCAGTCCTCAGAGCTTTTTTCAGGGCTGTGGTTGGTTTTAGGGAGGCTGGAAAACGATACACTGAGAAGAAAACTGGTGAGTAACATATTGGCATCCCACCTCTGTACATCTTTGAATCTTAACTATATATAATACATACACAATATGTCCCTGACATCTGATTTCAGTATGATTAAAATGTTATCGTATCTAATTTACACACATGCTCCTCTTCCTAATAATGTGTCCAAAAACGGGTGAATTGAATGGCTAGATTTCTGAGTAAAGAAGTATGTGGTACTTTACATGTCGAATAACAAATGCAATGGAGCCTTAGCAATTTACGATGAAGGATTTTCATTCTGATGTTGTTTTACCTTTTCTGTAGGATTCATTCTTAAGGAAATGTGCATGATTTAAATGGAAGCTTAAAATTATGAAGCAAAAAAGGGAATACTTTGATTCTTTAACTCATATTTCTTTCATTGTTAACATAAAGTCTGAAAACACAGAAATAGGACTCTGCTCTGTAATTTTTCAGACTGTTCACCCTTTAAGCTGAAAGAGAGATTGTTCTCCTGTCTAGCACAAATTCATAGCTGTGCGGTCAGCTAGAACGACCTACCCTCCCTCACGTAGAACAATTAAATGAAAGTAATGGTGCATCATCATGCTGTGGCAGGCAATACTTGGCTGTGCTTGTAGAACATTTCTCTGCATAAAGCTATTCCTGAACGGCAGGTACAAGCTATTACTATTAATTTCTGGGCACAAGAGGGCTTGAAATTCACAACAAAGCTAGAACATCAGCAGGGAAATGTCAGTACAAAGTTAAAATTAAGCATAGAATCATTCTGTTGATTTCTAGCTTGAAATGTTAATAGATTTGCATTAATAGAGTGAACGAATCAAGGAAAAATCATATAATTGTGAAAATACACCCATTTAGAATAAGTTTCTTTGCTTAGTAAGAATAACATCAGACCCTTGGGTCAAATCCCAAGAATAACCAGAAACAAAACCAGCCTTCAGCTGTTCAGAAGAGTGAGAAAAAGCCAGCCCTAGACAGAATAATTGGAAAGACACTTTTGACAAATGAACCTGAGACTTTTCTTGTATATCAGTACAAGGTTGAGATTGTGAAAATTCTATGATGACCATTGTAATGCTGGGAGGTAGAGGGGAGAGAAGTTTCACTTGTAAAGCTCCCATCACGCATTGCATGAGAGTTGCAGTTTTCTTGAGACCTTGTGCCTAGGGGAGGGGGGAGAAAATCCCTAGAAATCTAGTTCTTTGAAGAGATGTTCCTGCCTTTCCCTCATATGTTGTGGGGTGTGCTTTGTTGTTTCTTTTTTAAATCTTGCTGATTCACGAATCCCAGCTGGATAGCTGGCTGAGCAATAGAGTGCTCTCCAAGGAAGAAAAATAATAAAAATGCTAACTCGCTGGCAGCAAGAGCTATTGCCAACCCTGCCCTGCTAATTTCAAGCCCTGCTTCACCCTCTGTCTTCTGTAGTCACATCTGCCATGTTAGTGTCCCTAGCAATTAGCTTTCTGATTTCTCACTTTTTAGATTGGATCAGCAACTGACTAAAATTAGTCATATCAAAGAAAATCGGTGAGGTTTTCAGACAATTGTGGGATTTTTTTTCTTATGTCAGGACTAATTAGTATATGATTTCAGTTGAAAAAGCTTCTTAACCTCTTTCAGGATACAGTCCTGTAGTCCAATCCGTCCTGTGTCCTTTGCGTGACCACTCAAAAATGTCTCACTCCATTTTGTTTTGTCCCTTGTAACATTTATTCTTCAGATAAAATAATTCCATTGATATTAAGAAGACAGTGTAAGCCTTAAACTCCTTGACTGCCCAAAATCATTTGCATCTTAATTTTTCCAAGGGACACGTTTTAAAAATGTTATCAAATAATGATTGAAGTAGTTTGAGAAATAATGATGACAAACGTGCCAACTTTAAGAAAGCAGAACTAAAGAAAGAGTTCACCTAAATCCAGATTATTTCCAGTATTAACAGTAAGATGTGGTTTAAAGCATCTGTGTGGAGGAAATGTCACAATCAGTTATCTTATCATACATATGTAGTCAATAAGTTATCCAGTGTACACTAGCATTGCTATCACTTATTACATAGGGTAGCAAAGAACTTTCACATGGCAGCAGAAGCAGCACCAGTCATTCAGTTTATATTGCATAGATAGTTAGTATGAAGAATAAATGATAATGTGGGCTAGTGCATTTTACATTTTTATCCATTTTTTGGAGTTACATTATTTAGGTATGTAACTATTGCTAATAGAAAAATATATTGCTAATAGGTACAGCATGTTATGGGACCCTGATCTCAGCTGGGGCCTATAGGCATTTTCCTAATATGAAGTGATGCTAGACCCTACAGTTAAACTGTAGTGTCAATGTTCTTTCCTGGGGAGGGTGTGGTTGCCTAGTATCCTTGTGCCCATTGTTACAATTGCTAACACTAGGAGCTAATTAATGTCTTTCCCTCCATATGTGAAGTAAATCTCCCTTTGCCAAGAATACTTTTATACATAGAAGTTTTCTTTTCTAAAAACAAAGTTAGTTTTTCTCTTTTTTAAAAATTAACTTTTAAAAATTATTCCAGTATAGAGCATGTCAGTGTCATGTGTCTCTGTTATGGTAGCCACTTAACATCCTTAGAATGATAGACTAGATAAGCTTTGTGGCTGCCACCTTGAGAACATACTAGTGTTGGTCCCTAGGGACTGATTTACATGATGGTATGGATATTGGAAGCTTTTGTAACTAGCACTCTAGATTTCCCTTTCTTCCTTAATGATGATCCGCTATGCCCACCTCTCATTCAATTATCAAACCCTAGCTACAGTTTGGCATGAACTTCTTCATAACCCAGTCGGTGTCTCAAAGTATCCCAGATGGCATTGTGTGTTAGAACAGGTATAACTAAATGTCTGGCATAGGGTACTGGCTTATATATTTGATATCTTAGTTTTGTACATTAATCCCCAGAAGACTGAGAACTTTGTTCTGAGGCATACTTGATTAGCGGATGCTGGTGCCTATCGACTGCTATGTGACATAACACACAGTTATCACAATCTGATAATCTAATGAACATACACCTCTACCCCGATATAACGCTGTCCTCGAGAGCCAAAAAATCTTACTGCGTTATAGGTGGAACCGCATTATATCGAACTTGCTTTGATCCGCCAGAGTGCGCAGCCCCACCCCCCCGGAGCACTGCTTTACTGTGTTATATCCGAATTCGTGTTATATCGGGTCGCGTTATATCGAGGCAGAGTTATACCTACAGCAACTATTCTCTGGGAATTGTTCAAGGAGTCACTCAAATTTTAGGCCCTAAAGTTTACCTATCTTGATAGTCATCCTATAAAATAGCACATATTTCTAAGGATTGCATATGTTTTGGGTTTTTTTTAACCAAAACTTTCTAGCTTTTAATTAGCATGAGCTGAATGCATCTGGTGCAGCCGGAGTTGGAACTCATGATACAATCAAGATTTGCTAATGCCCCCCTCTCACACACACATATATTAATACCTAGTTAACACCCCCACACTAGCACACATACTGCTCAGTTTTAAACATTGTTAAGAAAAGCCTTAGGATGTCTTAGGGGTTGTCTACACTTACCGGAGGATTGACGCTGTGGCGATTGATGCATCAGCGGTTGATTTAGCAAGTCCGCTAAATTGACCGCTGATCGCTCTCTTTCTGACTCCAGTACTCCACCTGATGGAGAAGAGTAAGGGGAGTCGACGGAAGAGCGGCTCCCATCGATGTCGCGTAGTGTGGATCCTGCGGTAAGTAGATCTAAGCTATGTCGATTTGAGTTACGCTATTCACGTAACTCAAATTGTGTAGCTTAGATTGACTTTTCCCTTTAGTGTAGACAAGGCCTTATAAACTCCCTGGTAGCCCTATCTGACCTGGCTGTGATCGATCAGAAGGTACAGTTGCAAAGCAGTTTTAAAGGATGTCTGAAAAAGCTGCATATTTTCTTTAGAGCTTATTTTTTTTCAGTGTTTTTAGGCCAAAAGTCTATATGCTTTCCTTTTTCCTGTCTGAAGGCCTATTTGAGTTATGCTAGCCATACAAAAATCTCAATCCTATGTGCAGTAGGCTTTCCAAAACCCAGTTTGTTTTTTTCTTTCCTTCATTCTATATCTTTCTTTCTTTGTGCCATTGGTGTCCTGAAGCAGTGTGAACATTTCTGTGCTCTGCTTTCAATAGAATTAGTGTTGGATAAATGAATATACTCTTCACCGCTACCTTTAGGAGCTTTTCTTTTCTTACTGCACTTGTTATTTCTTGTAGTGTAGCTTTTAGTGATGTTGTGTTTATAACTGTGAGATATGTAGAAGCAGAGCAATGTAACTGTCTGAATTTTGTTGGATATGTTTCTCTTCTGGCCCAAGAGGTGTTTCTTACAGTGCTGCCAACTCTTTTCAAATTAAAAACTTAGAGATCAGACTGGGTAAAATATCGATAGTTGAGGGGGGAGCTCTTTGAATTGCTTGTTTTATAATTGAGCTTTCTCTGTGGGATAACAAGAAACTGAAGTTAAATTCTAAAAGAAAAGCTCACATTTGGATTTGATTTTCTTGAATCAAAATGAACTTGATTAAAGGCACATTGTCAAGTTTTTAGGAAGTAAATTTGTCTGATTTTTTTGTAATCTGATGGCAAATATCCTCTAGATCAGTGGTTCTCAACCCGCGGCCCGTGGACCACTTGTGGCCCAATCAGCACACAGCTGTGGCCCATGTGACATGCTCAGGGCCACAGAAGGAATATTGGATGTGGCCCACAACGATAAATAGGTTGAGAACCACTGCTCTAGATTAATTTATTCCACATAAAACATAATAATGAATGCCTCGTTGCTGACAAATTTAAAAAGAAAAGTCTCTGTTTTGAGATGACTTACACAAATCCAGTGATGGAAGCCAGTCATCCACAGCTTTCTCTTTGGTTTTCTCTGTTTTGAGCAAGTTGGATGTGAACATAGATCCTAGCTCTGATAAAGGATTTATGTTTCTGACTTTATGCTCTCATGCTCCCTCTGATGGCTCTGCAATAGCATTCAACTAACAAGCACTATTCCCAGTGCTGTGCCCATTGCTGCTGACATAAATGATGATGCTGGTTTGCAAGCAGTGAAGCAAGCAAAAGAAAGCCATGCTGACTTTTGTTGAATTAGCAATGTTATAAACCAAAAAAGAAAACGAATGTTTGCTGAATAGAAAAATGCAAAAATGGTGGTAAAAAAAAAATTGGTCTTCAGGCTTCCAAATGGGCAGTACAAAAATGGTGTTACTAACATTAGAAAAACAATAGTTGACAGTGTTCCTCTAAAGTGTTCAGATCAGTCTTTGCTGGTAGTTTAAAGCATCAGTCTTGAATGCTAGGCATAATATATCATGCTGACATAAGGTAACTTCAGTGCCTCATTACTCCTCAAATGAAGCATGGCATGTCCCACAGTAATTCCCTTTTAGATGGTAACTGGAAGGCGCTTCCTATTTACAACGTAATACCTGTATAACTTTTATTCCAAGTTACATTTATTATGAAATTATCAGAGAATTATCCTGTATGCCCACACATAGATGTCCACCGTAACTTCTGACACCAACTCCCAGATTCTGTCTGTCAGCTAACCTCAGTATATCTGAAATCTCCCCATTTCTCAGCCCTAAGGAAGGCTAAGCGTACCTCCTCTCCTCTTCCCTATGTAGAGTAACTCCTGTTTCAATTTAAATTGCAAATATCTGGATAAAATAGGGGTAACAGTGTGTGGAGCAGGTCAGAATTTGAGGTGGCTGTGCTTGTGAACATATGGGTGAGGAGTTCTGAAATCAGTAACCAACCTCAGCTGAACTGAAGCAGAAGGATTTATTGTACTGTAGCTAATAAAAGTAGAGATTTGCATAATCACTACTTTTTAAAGGTTACCTTGCAGTGATTATCTAGATGATTGTGCTCTGGCCAATCAAAGTGCTGGAATTTATATACTATTCAGTTCACAAGAAATAACCCTATAGTCACCATGCAAATCAGACCCCCCTCAGTCAGAGTGTAAGGAAATGTGTAACTGTGAGTGGATGCCTGCAGAGATGTGGGTCAGTACATTTGCAGTGTCCTTGGACTCTGGACTGAGATAATTATGTCCATGACTGTGTGTGATGTGTCATGATACCGTGTCGTGAGGGAAATGAAGTAAACCTGTGTCAGTGCTATGCATTTTCATAACTGCTGCAAATAGCCTAGTTATGGTCCATAAACAGAAAGTGCGACTTTTGAACAATTCTTGTATTACATGGGCAGTTGGCAGCATTGTTCTTTACTCTTTCCTGATTTCTGCTTATATAATCTTTCTCTTCTCTCCATTTTTTGTTTTTATTTTGCTTCCCAAGGGCATGATGATGCAGTGCCATGTGCGGTTTTGAAAAGTGTGGATAGTTTTAGCTTTCTACATCACCCAGTCCATCAGAGGAGCTTAGAGATCCTGCAGAGATGCAAGGAGGAGAAGTACAGTAAGGCTCCATATCCCACCATCCTCTCTGACATGACACTCACATATCAGGAAATGGAAACCAGGAGCATTCTGGGTAGCAAGGGGGGAAAGAAACATGCAAAGAAACTTCCAGTGCAACCCAATGAGAGCATCATAATCAATTGCAGGAAACCTTAAGGAAAGGATTTTAGCCTTTTCCTACTAGAAATTCTTAGCTAGGGTTTTGTTCTACAGAGATCTGGAATAGACTCGCTGGATCACCTATTCTTGTTAACGAGTTGTAAAAAAAAAAAAAATCCAGTATATATCCATGTTTGTTTAATTATACGTGGAACCATTTTACTAATGGCTTCACAGGTTGCTCTCCTAAATAAGACCGTATTCTGAAGTTAGTAACACTTTTCATGCCATTAATTTTTAGTGTTACTACTATCATACCTAAAGCAAGTTTAGAGCACTTCAGAACCAGTAGGAATATTTCTAGTGTGAGTTAATATAGCTAGGATTTTACTTCAAGCTTTCTTCAGGATTCAGTCCCTTTCTTTTTTTATTACAGCTTTATTTATATGTCATACTTTAAAAATAACTGTGTTTGGAGAAAGTGCCTATGTTGTTTCAAAGGCTTTCATATAAATATGAGGAAATGTTATGCTAGAAGACCCCTTTACAGAACGGGTGGGCAGAGATGCGCTTGGTCTCCATTTCCTTGTCCTTACTCCTCTGTTTGTTACATAATAAACTAGTCCTGCATGAACAAACAGGCCTTTCTGCCTGTACTACTAATTACTATGGCTGGACTCCTATTGTAGGAGGAGAAGGGAGTCCAGCAGCATGGAACATAACATCACCTGCCACAAAGAATAGCGCATGGAGATTCAGTGTTATAACAATGTAAAGGGCCTGCCGCAAGATGCCACAATACTAGTTCACTCTTTAAACTGCTCTATATATCATTTCACTTTAAAGTTCAGACGCGCATTCAGTTGCAAGCGCTTCAAAAAAGGAACATGCAATAGTGTAATGTCAAGATTTGCTTTGTTTCCTGTGGAAAGGTGATCAAGCTTTAAAGGTGAATTAAAACAATTAAATTTTTGGTGTCTGTATTTACAGAAGGTTTAAGTCTTGTGCCATCGTGTTCCTTCTTCATTTTGTATAAATAAAGTTTACAGAGATGGAGCATTACTGTAAACAAGTCTTAATAAAGGCACACTTTCCACCTAAAACGTAGACTTTAAAATGACTGTAAGATGTGCCTAAACAGAACGTCAAAAGGCTTGTTTCCACATTGTAGAAATATGCATGGTAAGTACAGTACTTTTGTGTTAGCACTTCAGAAAGATGTGCTTGACTTTAGAAGTCTCTAAATAGACTTTTTCCATGTGCTCCCTGCAATGTCTAGCACTGGGAAAGTTAAGGAAGGGTTTTCATTCTTAAAGTAGGCCTTGTCTACACTAGACTATTTTCCTTAATTTTCCACCACCAATGGGAAATCTTAAGAAAAAGTCTAATGTAGACCTAGCCTCTAGAATTTCACAGTCAATAAATATACTTCTAAGTAACACTTACAGATAATTACATAGCTCTCAATAGTTTATTTCTAGTGTAAGAAAAGCAATTGGAATCCAGTTTAAGATTTGCAAGTTAGTTTAGCTATATGAGCAGGTTGTTTATGGTTTGTTAAAAAACGGGGGAAAAACCCATACAGCACAGAATATTTTTTAACTATGACCTATAATTCAGTGTAAAAATAATATGATGCAAGTTTATTATGGTCAAGCCCAACAGTGTTAAACTTAAATTCATTCTTGCCACTGGCGAAGCCTTGTAATCCTTTTCCCTGTAAGAAATCCATCTTTGGTTGAGAAGGTGGAACATGTGATCTCTGTTACAGTTGCTGATGTTTTGTGACTTGGCCAAAAGCAGATGGTCTGGCAAACAAGTAGTTCATGCAGATTAGCTGCTTCTGTATTTGGGTCTCTTGCATATCCCTATACAGTGTGTGCTGCCATTGGTCAGTTCCTAGAACTTTTTCTTTAAAATAGTTAGAGTCCAAACACATTTAATTATTTGATGCTTGGGGGTTAGATTTTGCTGGATTCATTCAGTTGCTAGCTTTGAGGCATGTATTCCCAAATTTTAGAAAGCTCTATGCTTACCAGTGGTACTACTTGGACTTGGCTTTTCCTGGAAGTTAAATAAAATTACATCCTCTCGATTTCTGAAAAATTGATTGGTAGAAACGTCTTTGTTTTGAATTGTAAGCATCAGTTCCAATCACAAGTGTAAATTAAAAAAGTTATTTAACCAGTGGATTAGTTAGTGAATCCAAATTCCCCTAGGGTGGTAATATCACTTACTGTTCTAGCTATTTGGCCAAGTTACTAATGGTCACCTTTTCATTGGTTACTTAATCACTTCAGTGATTATACCTAGTATATTTCTGTTGATTTGTCAGTATTCCATAACAGAAAAGCAGGGATGCTTCAATGTCTTAATAAGTTAATCACAAAGAATAATAGAGCTTCATGCTCTGTTTTGAAGGGAATTATGAAACAAAAATTATTGCACAGTGTGACATGCACTGTGCTTAGCTGTCTCTGAGTCAAAGGCAGGAGCTCTGTTGGTTAATGTTCCTATATAATTAATAGAAAGTATATTGTCCACAATTCTTCCCAAAAGCATAAAAATATAGACATTAGACATAGAAAAGACCAATTAGACAAATCCGCCCACCCTTGAAAGGACTAGCGTTGAAGTAGGAGGGAAGTGAGTTTTAGAGAACAGAGTCATATTTATGACCACAGTTTAGGTTAGCTGTTCAATCTGCATCTGCCCTGTGAATGGAGAAGCATCCAAGTTCCTGATCCTTTGTTTGGAGAGTAATTGTTTATACAATTCATGAATAAATTTTCCTTGGTCAGAGTATTTGGTGGCAGGTGGAGGGGAGCACAAGTAAATCAACGGGTTAAATTAAAAATAACTATCCTTTGTTCCCAAAAGCCTCTCTGTTCCCCGCACAGTAGAAACAGCACTGCACTAAGACTACAGCTTTACCTAGTATTTTGGGGGGATGTAGAGCTCTTTAAGCATTTGCTCTTCATCTGGTAATATGTAGACAAGTTTTTAATGAATTACTGCAGCAGTCATTTCTTAATTCAGCTTGCACTCATCTCATATGTAATTTATTTTTACAATTGCAGGTGACAAATCTTTGGATTAATAGACTGCCTGGAGTACATGACACTGACTAGACACCTATTATATAAGCTCCAGTGTAGTTTTAAGTTGATCCTCGAATAAAAATGTTTCTTTTCCTGATTTATGTAAGACCAAGCTACAGCACTATTTTGGTACAATCTTATCTTCATAATTTCAGCATCTCATAAAATATTCCACTCCTGTGGATATTACATTTCTGGTAATTGTAATCTTATCATTCTCGGTTTAAGTTCATGCTGCAGTCATAGGATAAACAAATCACTAAAAAAACCAAAATCAGTATTCCAATGAAAGTTCACTGTTCAAAAGAGACCCACTGGTTATGAAAGATTCCAACCAAAATGGAATAAAATAGATTAAAGATTTTCTCCATATGTTTATGGGGAAAAATCAAGACATTTATACCATACATCAAGTGAAAACCCAGTCAGTGGACATCAAGATATTATCCGCTTAATTAATAAAGTAAATAAATAATTTAAAGTTGATCTACGGGCCTTCAGTACTGTAAACATGGTAACATACGCAGCCTGCTGTCCTGCAGGGTTGACACTGTCCTTAGGCAAATTTCCATCTACTGAGCAGTTATTTTATTGGTAGTTCCTTGTCAGTTTTGGACAGTGTAAAATCATAGTAAATCTGTAAACATCTTTGGAGATTTAAGAACGTGTTGCAATCAATGGCCAACATACAGTAAAGATACTACAAGAAAAGGGTGAGGTGCACTCATAATTGATTTAAAAGGCTGTTTGTGTTGCATCACTTTTTCCAGTATCCTACATGTAAACACCTTGTTGGACAATAAGATTCAGTCATGCAGCAGGGATCTGGGAGAGAAAAATACTTGTGTATCATGTTCTATTATAAAAACACCAGTCCACCCATTTCCCATGTCTCCTATAATTTCATACTGGAAGCATGGCACAGATGCCTGAGTTGTCTTCCAGCTCTGTCTCTTCCAGCCCTTCTCTGTAGAAGCGAGAAGAAAGTAAGAACCTCAAGAGAGAAGAAGAAAAGTCGAGGAAGGCTCTGTGTCCCAGATGTTGGTGTGTGTGTTTGAAGGTCTCTGGCAGTATTCCCTCCCCTTTGCCTGCCTCTCACATCTCAGATCTTACGTTTGCTCTGGAAGCCAGAACCAGAGCTCCATTTCTCAGGAGGAAGTTGCTGTTGCTGTACATCCCTGCAAATTGCAGTTCTCCGATGCTAATCTATCCTTGCTTTCCACCCCCTGTCCATTTCAGAGCAAGACGAGCTACAGTGTGACGTGTTTTCTTTGCCTTGTGCTGAAGAGGTTTATTCCACATCTCACTACTGATAACAGTTGTAATTTAAGCCCTTGCACTTCGTCTGGCTGGAGCAAGATGGAGTCCTGTAGGCAGGAATTTGTGAATCTAAGGCCTGCTGGAGCGCTGCCGGTGAATACTGGATCTCTGATTCCTGCTCTAAGGAAATGGAGCTGGACCTTCCTTGCCCTGGAAACCACTCTCTTTCTCTTTCTCATCTTTATGGGGAGAAGTCTGCAGAGTTTGCTTTTCCTGGCACAACTGGAACTGTTCATTCTGTCTTCCAGTCCATGTTCTTTAACCCTTTGGAGCCCCACTGCAAGTGGATTTACCAAAAAGCAACCTCTGGGCCCAAGCCCTCCAATCTCAGACAGGAAGTGGACAGCCAGTTCTATCTCTGGGGATCCCCTCCTGGAAGGAGGCTGTGTAGCTGTAGATTGACCTCAATTCTGAAAAGGGGGACCCTGAACCACAGGGTAACTTCCTCTCTCTCATAGTAGCTGAATTCCCCAATCTC